CAAAGGTTGGTTTGAGAGAAAGATTTAAGAAGCGTAGTGGCATTCATAGTGTGATAAGGCATGGTGAGGCTGCCAGTTCGGACCACAAATCGGCTGAAAAATATGTGCAGGACTTCAAGGAGTACATAGACAGTGAAGGACTGAAACCTGAACAAGTGTTTAATTGTGATGAAACAGGCCTGTTTTGGAAGAAAATGCCAAGCAGGACGTACATGACTCAGGAGGAAAAGGCACTCCCAGGACATAAGCCTATGAAAGACAGGCTTACTCTGTTGATGTGTGCCAATGCTAGTGGTGATTGCAAAGTGAATCCTTTATTGGTGTATCACTCGGAAACTCCCAGAGTGTTCAGGAAAAACAATGTCCTCAAGGCTAATTTGTGTGTGCTGTGGAGGGCAAATAGTAAGGCATGGGTCACTAGGGACTTTTTCTATGACTGGTTACACCATGCATTTGCCCCCCACTGTGAAAAATTACCTAATTGAAAAGAAATTAGACCTTAAGTGCCCCTGGTATTAGACAATGCTCCTGGTCATCCTTCAGACTTGGCAGAGCGACTTTCTAGGGACATGAGCTTCATTAAGGTGAAGTTTTTGCCTCCTAATACCACTCCTCTCCTGCAGCCCATGGACCAGCAGGTTATTTCCAACTTCAAGAAACTGTACACAAAAGCTATGTTTGAAAGGTGCTTTGTAGTAACCTCAGAAACTCAACTGACTCTAAGAGAGTTTTGGAAAGATCATTTTACCATCCTCAATTGTGTAAACATTATAGGTAAGGCTTGGGAGGAAGTGACTAAGAGGACATTGAAACTCTGCTTGGAAAAAACTGTGGCCAGAATGTGTAGACAAAAGGGATTTTGAAGGGTTTGAGGCTAACCCTGAGAATCCTATGCCAGTTGAGAAATCCATTGTGGCATTGGGGAAGTCCTTGGGGTTGGAGGTTAGTGGGGAGGATGTGGAAGAGTTGGTGGTGGAGGACAGTGAAGAACTAACCACTGATGAGCTGCTAGATCATCTTGAACAGCAAGAGGGCAGACCTGAGGAAACTGCTTCGGAGGAGGGGAGAGAGAAATTGAAGAAGTTGCCTACTTCTAAGATAAAGGAAATGTGTGCAAAGTGGCTTGAAGTGCAAACCTTTTTTGATGAAGATCACCCTGACACAGCTACTGCAAGCCGTGTTGGCAACCTGTACACTGACAATGTTGTGAACCACTTTAGGAAAGTCATAAAGGAACGAGAGGTACAGGTATCTATGGACAGATATGTTGTGCGACAGAAGTCCAGTGACTCTGAAGCTGGTCCTAGTGGCATTAAAAGAACAAGGGAAGTAACCCCAGAAAAAGACTTGCTGCCTCAAGTGCTAATGGAAGGGGATTCCCCTTCTAAACACTAAGAAGATCAACGCTCTCCCCTCCTCCCATCCCATCAATCATCACCAGATCTTCAATAAAGGTAAGTTTCATGTAACTGTGCATGTAATCTTCAGTTTGTGTGTATTAAAATTAATATTTCATGTGGTAAAATTTTTTTTTTTTTCAATACTTTTGGGTGTCTTGCACGGATTAATTTGATTTCCATTATTTCTTATGGGGAAAATTAACTTGACTAACGATAATTTTGACTAACGATGAGCTCTCAGGAACGGATTAATATCGCTGGTTGAGGGTCCACTGTATCTCAATACATTCACCTCCTCCATACTCTCTCCCTCCAATCTAATATCCAATCTTTCATCACCTAATCTTTTTGTTATCCTCATAACCTTACTCTTTCCTGTATTCACTTTTAATTTTATTCTTTTACATACCCTGCCAAATTCTTCCACCAACCTCTGCAACTTCTCTTCAGAATCTCCCAAGAGCACAGTATCACCAGCAAAGAGCAACTGTGACAACTCCCACTTTATGTGTGATTCTTTATCTTTTAACTCTACGCCTCTTGCCAAGACCCTTGTATTTACTTCTCTTACAAGCCCATCTATAAATATATTAAACAATCACGGTGACATCACACATCCTTGTCTAAGGCCTACTTTTACTGGGAAATAATCTCCCTCTTTCCTACACACTCTAACTTGAGCCTCACTATCCTCGTAAAAACTCTTCACTGTTTTCAGTAACCTACCTCCTATACCATACACCTGCAACATCTGCCACATTGCCCTCCTAACCACCCTGTCATACACCTTTTCCAAATCCATAAATGCCACAAAAACCTCTTTCGCCTTATCTAAATACTGTTCACTTACATGTTTCACTGTAAACACCTGGTCCACACACCCCCTACCTTTCCTAAAGCCTCCTTGTTCATCTGCTATCCTATTCTCCGTCTTACTCTTAATTCTTTCAATAATAACTCTACCATACACTTTACCAGGTATACTCAACAGACTTATCCCCCTATAATTTTTGCACTCTCTTTTGTCCCCTTTGCCTTTATACAAAGGAACTATGCATGCTCTCTGCCAATCCTTATATACTTTACCCTCTTCCATACATTTATTAAATAATAGCACCAACCACTCCAAAACTATATCCCCACCTGCTTTTAACATTTCTATCTTTATCCCATCAATCCCAGCTGCCTTACCCCCTTTCATTTTACCTACTGCCTCACGAACTTCCCCCACACTCACAACTGGCTCTTCCTCACTCCTACAAGATGTTATTCCTCCTTGCCCTATACATGAAATCACAGCTTCCCTATGTTCATCAACATTTAACAGTTCCTCAAAATATTCCCTCCATCTTCCCAATACCTTTAACTCTCCATTTAATAACTCTCCACTCCTATTTTTAACTGGCAAATCCATTTGTTCTCTAGGCTTCCTTAACTTGTTAATTTCACTCCAAAACTTTTTCTTATTTTCAACAAAATTTGTTGATAACATCTCACCCACTCTCTCATTTGATCTCGTTTTACATTGCTTCACCACTCTCTTAACCTCTCTTTTTCTCCATATACTCTTCCCTCCTTGCATCACTTCTACTTTGTAAAAACTTCTCATATGCTGACTTTTTCTCCCTTACTGCTCTCTTTACATCATCATTCCACCAATCGCTCCTCTTCCCTCCTGCACCCACTTTCCTGTAACCACAAACTTCTGCTGAATACTCTAACACTACATTTTTAAACATTCCCCATACCTCTTCGACCCCATTGCCTGTGCTCTCATTAGCCCATAAGATAAGAGATAAGATTTTGTTCGGATTTTTAACCCCGGAGGGTTAGCCACCCAGGATAACCCAAGAGAGTCAGTGCGTCATCGAGGACTGTCTAACTTATTTCCATTGGGGTCCTTAATCTTGTCCCCCAGGATGCGACCCACACCAGTCGACTAACACCCAGGTACCTATTTGCTGCTAGGTGAACAGGACCACAGGTGTAAGGAAATGTGTCGAAATGTTTCCATCCGCCGGGAATTGAACCCGGGCCCTCCGTGTGTGAAGCGGGAGCTTTAGCCACCAGGCCACCGGGCCTGGTAGCTGTTTATATCTTACCCTAACTGCCTCCTCTTTTAGTTTATAAACCTTCACCTCTCTCTTCCCTGATGCTTCTATTCTCCTTGTATCCCATCTACCTTTTGCTCTCAGTGTAGCTACAACTAAAAAGTGATCTGATATATCTGTGGCCCCTCTATAAACATGTACATCCTGAAGTCTACTCAACAGTCTTTTATCTACCAATACATAATCCAACAAACTACTGTCATTTTGCCCTACATCATATCTTGTATACTTATTTATCCTCTTTTTCTTAAAATATGTATTACCTATAACTAAACCCCTTTCTTTACAAAGTTCAATCATAGGGCTCCCATTATCATTTACACCTGGCACCCCAAACTTACCTACTACACCCTCTAAAAGTTTCTCCTACTTTAGCATTCAGGTCCCCTACCACAATTACTCTCTCACTTGGATCAAAGGTTCCTATACATTCACTTAACATCTCCCAAAATCTCTCACTCTCCTCTACATTCCTCTCTTCTCCAGGTGCATACACTGACACTGCCAGTGATCCTACAAGGAAGCAGTAAACACTCAATTTAATAGACTGATAAAGAAAAGTGGTTGGCCAGTAATGGCAACTGTGATGGATTGACAAGATTGCTTAGCCATTATCATGAGGTGAATCATAGAATTGATGAGGGGAAAAGGGTGAGCGGTGCACTTAGGAGTCTGTGGAGACAAAGAGGGGAATGTATGAGAGTATAGTTTTACCAACGCTCTTATATGGGTGTGAAGCATGGGTGATGAATGTTGCAGCAAGGAGAAGGCTGGAGGCAGTGGAGATGTCATGTCTGAGGGCAATGTGTGGTGTGAATATAAATGCAAAGAATTTGTAGTTTGGAAGTTAGGAGGAGGTGCGGGATTGCCAAAACTGTTGTCCAGAGGGCTGAGGAAGGGTTGTTGATGTGGTTTGGACATGTAGAGAGAATGGAGAAAAACAGAATGACTTCAAGAGTCTATCAGTCTGTAGTGGAAGGCAGGGTAGAGGTCGACCTAGGAAAGGTTGGAGGGAGGGGGTAAAGGAGGTTTTGTGTGCGAGGGGCTTGGACTTCCAGAGGGCATGCGTGAGCGTGTTTGATAGGAGTGAATGGAGACAAATGGTTTTTAATACTTGACGTACTGTTGGAGTGTGAGCAAAGTAACATTTATGAAGGGATTCAGGGAAACCGGCAGGCCGGACTTGAGTCCTGGAGATGGGAAGTAGAGTGCCTGCACTCTGAAGGAGGGGTGTTTATGTTGCGGTTTAAAAACTGTAGTGTAAAGCACCCTTCTGGCAAGACAGTGATGGAGTGAATGATGGTGAAAGTTTTTCCTTTTTGGGCCACCCTGCCTTGGTGGGAATCGGCCAGTGTGCTAATAATAATAATAATAATAAATAATACATTGTCTTGAAGTGACGCATGGCCTTTTTTTTGTTTTTCTTAACTTTTTCTGCAGAGTTGTTGATGATGTAAGGGACCATGAATACTAGCTTGACCATTTTCAGTTGATTTTCAGCTTGGAACAATGAAGAGTGCCGCATACAGTGGGAAGAGAGTGAAAAGTACCAAGGAGAACGGCTGACTTTTGATGGAGTCCCGTTCATTGTTCTGGGTACCAAACATCTGGGCTGTCAATATGGTGTACGAAATCCAGGCAAGAATGGCAAATATTTGGAATGGAAAAAGGTTAGCAAAGTATGTTTTATAATAATTTTTGCATAATGTATTTACACCAGGTGTACCAGGTGTAAATGATAATGGGAGCCCTTTGATTGAACTTTGTATAGAAAGAGGTTTAGTTATAGGTAATACATATTTTAAGAAAAAGAGGATAAATAAGTATACAAGATATGATGTAGGGCGAAATGACAGTAGTTTGTTGGATTATGTATTGGTAGATAAAAGACTGTTGAGTAGACTTCAGGATGTACATGTTTATAGAGGGGTCACAGATATATCAGATCACTTTCTAGTTGTAGCTACACTGAGAGTAAAAGGTAGATGGGATACAAGGAGAATAGAAGCATCAGGGAAGAGAGAGGTGAAGGTTTATAAACTAAAAGAGGAGGCAGTTAGGGTAAGATATAAACAGCTATTGGAGGATAGATGGGCTAATGAGAGCATAGGCAATGGGGTCGAAGAGGTACGGGGTAGGTTTAAAAATGTAGTGTTAGAGTGTTCAGCAGAAGTTTGTGGTTACAGGAAAGTGGGGGGCGGGAGGGAAGAGGAGCGATTGGTGGAATGATGATGTAAAGAGAGTAGTAAGGGAGAAAAAGTTAGCATATGAGAAGTTTTTACAAAGTAGAAGTGATGCAAGGAGGGAAGAGTATATGGAGAAAAAGAGAGAGGTTAAGAGAGTGGTGAAGCAATGTAAAAAGAGAGCAAATGAGAGAGTGGGTGAGATGTTATCAACAAATTTTGTTGAAAATAAGAAAAAGTTTTGGAGTGAGATTAACAAGTTAAGAAAGCCTAGAGAACAAATGGATTTGTCAGTTAAAAATAGGAGAGGAGAGTTATTAAATGGAGAGTTAGAGGTATTGGGAAGATGGAGGGAATATTTTGAGGAATTGTTAAATGTTGATGAAGATAGGGAAGCTGTGATTTCGTGTATAGGACAAGGAGGAATAACATCTTGTAGGAGTGAGGAAGAGCCAGTTGTGAGTGTGGGGGAAGTTCGTGAGGCAGTAGGTAAAATGAAAGGGGGTAAGGCAGCCGGGATTGATGGGATAAAGATAGAAATGTTAAAAGCAGGTGGGGATATAGTTTTGGAGTGGTTGGTGCAATTATTTAATAAATGTATGGAAGAGGGTAAGGTACCTAGGGATTGGCAGAGAGCATGCATAGTTCCTTTGTATAAAGGCAAAGGGGATAAAAGAGAGTGCAAAAATTATAGGGGGATAAGTCTGTTGAGTATACCTGGCAAAGTGTATGGTAGAGTTATTATTGAAAGAATTAAGAGTAAGACGGAGAATAGGATAGCAGATGAACAAGGAGGCTTTAGGAAAGGTAGGGGGGTGTGTGGACCAGGTGATTACAGTGAAACATATAAGTGAACAGTATTTAGATAAGGCTAAAGAGGTCATTGTGGCATTTATGGATTTGGAAAAGGCGTATGACAGGGTGGATAGGGGGCAATGTGGCAGATGTTGCAGGTGTATGGTGTAGGAGGTAGGTTACTGAAAGCAGTGAAGAGTTTTTACGAGGATAGTGAGGCTCAAGTTAGGGTATGTAGGAAAGAGGGAAATTATTTCCCAGTAAAAGTAGGCCTTAGACAAGGATGTGTGATATCACCGTGGTTGTTTAATATATTTATAGATGGGGTTGTAAGAGAAGTAAATGCGAGGGTCTTGGCAAGAGGCGTGGAGTTAAAAGATAAAGAATCACACATAAAGTGGAAGTTGTCACAGTTGCTCTTTGCTGATGACACTGTGCTCTTGGGAGATTCTGAAGAGAAGTTGCAGAGATTGGTGGATGAATTTGGTAGGGTGTGCAAAAGAAGAAAATTGAAAGTGAATACAGGAAAGAGTAAGGTTATGAGGATAACAAAAAGATTAGGTGATGAAAGATTGGATATCAGATTGGAGGAGAGAGAGTATGGAGGAGGTGAATGTATTCAGATATTTGGGAGTGGACGTGTCAGTGGATGGGTCTATGAAAGATGAGGTGAATCATAGAATTGATGAGGGGAAAAGGGTGAGTGGTGCACTTAGGAGTCTGTGGAGACAAAGAACTTTGTCCTTGGAGGCAAAGAGGGGAATGTATGAGAGTATAGTTTTACCAACGCTCTTATATGGGTGTGAAGCATGGGTGATGAATGTTGCAGCGAGGAGAAGGCTGGAGGCAGTGGAGATGTTATGTCTGAGAGCAATGTGTGGTGTGAATATAATGCAGAGAATTCGTAGTTTGGAAGTTAGGAGGAGGTGCGGGATTACCAAAACTGTTGTCCAGAGGGCTGAGGAAGGGTTGTTGAGGTGGTTCGGACATGTGAGAGAATGGGAGCGAAAGAGAATAACTTCAAGAGTGTATCAGTCTGTAGTGGAAGGAAGGCGGGGTAGGGGTCGTCCTAGGAGAGGTTGGAGGGAGGGGGTAAAGGAGGTTTTGTGTGCGAGGGGCTTGGACTTCCAGCAGGCATGCGTGAGCGTGTTTGATAGGAGTGAATGGAGACAAATGGTTTTTAATACTTGACGTGCTGTTGGAGTGTGAGCAAAGTAACATTTATGAAGGGGTTCAGGGAAACCGGCAGGCCGGACTTGAGTCCTGGAGATGGGAAGTACAGTGCCTGCACTCTGAAGGAGGGGTGTTAATATTGCAGTTTAAAAACTGTAGTGTAAAGCACCCTTCTGGCAAGACAGTGATGGAGTGAATGATGGTGAAAGTTTTTCTTTTTCGGGCCACCCTGCCTTGGTGGGAATCGGCCAGTGTGATAAAAAAAAAAAAAAGTAGTGATTTTTACATTAGGATATGGTACAGTTGAAGAGGATGTTAATATGGCTAACCTAACCTCACCTAAAGTAACCTAACCTAACTTTAGCGTTAGATAAAAAAAAAGATAGAGTTTGGGCACCATCTTTTCTAGGAAATGAAAATGAAATTCAAAATTTTATAAGTGATCTTAATTTTTTTTAATGCTGGTTGTCTCCCACCAAGATAAGGTGACCTGGAAAAAAAGAAATGCTTTCACGATCACTCTCTCCATTGCTGCCTTGCCAGAGTTGCACCGATACTACAGTTCAGATGCACCTCCAAACTGCAATATTCCTACACCTCCCTCAAAGTGCAGGCACTGCTTTCCACCTCCAGGACTCAAAGTCTGGCTAACTTGTTTCCCTGAATCTGTTCATAACAGTCATCTTGCTCACACTCCAACAGCACATCAAGGGATATAGATCAGTTGCCTCTATTCAGTCCTATCTAACATGCTCACACATGCCTGTTGGATATTCAAGTATCTTGCATGCAGAACCTTTACCCCCTCCAACCTTTCCTAGGATGACCCCTACCTCGCCTTCCCTCCACTGAAGATTTATACCCTCGAAGTCATCCTATTTTGCTCCATTCTCTGTAAATGTCCAAGCCACCTCAATAACCCCTCCTCAGCCCCCTGAATAATACTTTTAGTAACATCGCACCCCCCTCCTAATCTGCAGACTACGAATTGTCTGCATAATTTTCACACCATACATTTCCCTCAGATTTATCTCCCCTGTCTCCAGCCTCCTCTTCACTACAACAGTTACAACCCATGCTTCACACTCATACAAGTGTGTTGGTATCCTACACTCTGAAAATTTCCCTTTTTTCCTCCATGAATAACATTCTTTATCTCCACAGATGCCTTGATATACATAAGAACATAAGAAAGGAAGAACACTGCAGTAGGCCATGTTGGCCCATATTGGGCAGGTCATTCACAAATCAAAACCACTAACAGAATATTTGTCCAACTCACTTTAGTTCTACCCTAACAATAAGCTCTGATATATCCACTAACTCATGTGCAAGTCCCACTCAAATCCAACCCCTCTCACTCATGTATTGATCCAACCTAAATTTGAAACTACCCAAGGTTTCAGCTTCGATAACCCTATTAGGCAGACCATTCCACTCAACTAACTACCCTATTACCAAACCAGTACTTTCCTATATCCTTTCGAAGTCTAAACTTGTCTAATTTGAATCCATTATTGCACATTCTCTCTTGGAGGGATATCGTCCACCTTTTTCCCTTCGTCAATTCAGTGGTTCACCTCTTCTTTCATAGACCCATCCACCAACAAGTCCTCCTAAATATCTGAACACTTTCACATTTTAAGGATTTTGTGTAATTATGGGCAATATTCTGTTATATCTTCATGGAGAAATGGAAAAGAATCCTTCCACTGTAATCCATGCATCATATGAAGCGACTAAAACGATGGGAGCAAGGGGCTAGTAATCCCTTCTCTTGTATAAAGTACTAAATTTAAAAATAAAAACCTTCATTTTTCTTCTTAGGTCACCCTTGTACATTTCTTCTGGTTATTAACCCACAGGAATGTGGTGGACAACTAAGCCCTTCCAGGAGAGGCAGCTGCCCTGCTATGGTTGTGCTGAAGGAGGTCATCAAATTGCCTGATTACAGAGTAAGCTTTCTTATTTTATATAGTATGTATATAATAGTATATAATATAGTATGTATATAATAGGTATCAGGTTGGTAGACAGCAACCACCCAGGGAGGTACTACCGTCCTGCCAAGTGAATGTAAAACAAAAGTCTGCAATTGTTTTACATGATGGTAGGATTGCTGGTGTTCTTTTTTTTTTTTTGTCTGTCTCATAAATATGTAAGATTACAGGTATGTCTTGCTACTTCTACTTACACTTAGGTCACACTACACATACATGTATACATTTATTTATACACACTCATCTGAGTTTTCTTTGATTTTATCTTAATAGTTCTTGGTCTTATTACTTTTCCTTTTATATCCATGGGGAAGTGGAATAAGAATCTTTCCTCCGTAAGCCATGCGTGTTGTAAAAGTCAACTAAAATGCCGGGAACAATGGGCTAGTAACCCCTTTTCCTGTAAAGATTACTAAAAAGAATAAGAAGAAGAAAATTGTCAAAGTGGGAAGTCTGAATGTGCGTGGATGTTGTGCAAATGATAAGAAAGAGATGATTGTGGATGTTATGAATGAGAAGAAGCTGGATGTCCTGGCTTTAAGTGAAACAAAGCTGAAGGGGGTGAGAGAGTTTCAGTGGAGAGGAATAAATGGGATTAGGTCAGGGGTTTCAAATAGAGTTAGAGCTAAAGGAGTAGCAATAATGTTGAAGGATAAGATATGGCAGGAAAAGAGGGACTATAAATGTATTAATTCAAGGATTATGTGGAGTAAAATAAAGGTTGGATGTGAAAAGTGGGCTATAGTAAGTGTATATGCCCCTGGAGAAGAGAGAAGTGTAGAGGAGAGAGAGAGATTTTGGGAAATGTTGAGTGAATGCGTGGGGAGTTTTGAACCTAGTGTGAGAGTACTTGTGGTTGGGGATTTCAATGCTAAAGTGGGTAAAAATGTTGTGGAGGGAGTAGTAGGTAAATTTGGGGTGCCAGGGGTAAATGTAAATGGGGAGCCTTTAATTGAGCTATGTGTAGAAAGAGATTTGGTAATAAGTAATACATATTTTATGAAAAAGAGGATAAATAAATATACAACGTATGATGTAGCATGTAATGAAAGTAGTTTGTTAGATTATGTATTGGTGAATAAAAGGTTAATGGGTAGGCTCCAGGATGTACATGTTTACAGAGGGGCAACTGATATATCGGATCATTATTTAGTTATAGCTACAGTTAGAGAAAGAGGTAGATGGGACAAGAGGAAGGTGGCAACAACAAGTAGGAGGGAAGTGAAAGTGTATAAACTAAGGGAGGAGGAAGTTCGGGTGATATATAAGCGACTATTGGCAGAAAGGTGGCCTAGTGCAAAGATGAGTAGTGGGGGGTTGAAGAGGGTTGGATGAGTTTTAAAAATGCAGTATTAGAATGTGGGGCAAAAGTTTGTGGTTATAGGAGGGTGGGGGCAGGAGGAAAGAGGAGTGATTGGTGGAATGATGAAGTAAAGGGTGTGATACAAGAGAAAAAGTTAGCTTATGAGAGGTTTTTACAAAGCAGAAGTGTTATAAGAAGAGCAGAGTATATGGAGAGTAAAAGAAAGGTGAAGAGAGTGGTGAGAGAGTGCAAAAGGAGAGCAGATGAAAGAGTGGGAGAGGCACTGTCAAGAAATTTTAATGAAAATAAGAAAAAAATTTTGGAGTGAGTTAAACAAGTTAAGAAAGCCCAGGGAAAGTATGGATTTGTCAGTTAACAACAGAGTAGGGGAGTTAGTAGGTGGGGAGAGGGAGGTATTAGATAGATGGCGAGAATATTTTGAGGAACTTTTAAATGTTGAGGAAGAAAGGGAGATGGTAATTTCATGCACTGGCCAGGGAGTTATACCATCTTTTAGGAGTGAAGAAGAGCAGAATGTAAGTGTGGGGGAGGTACGTGAGGCATTACGGAGAATGAAAGGGGGTAAAGCAGCTGGAACTGATGGGATCATGACAGAAATGTTAAAAGCTGGGGGGGATATAGTGTTGGAGTGGTTGGTCCTTTTGTTTAATAAATGTATGAAAGAGGGGAAGGTACCTAGGGATTGACAGAGAGCATGTATAGCCCCTTTATATAAAGGGAAGGGGGACAAAAGAGATTGTAAAAATTTTAGAGGAATAAGTTTATTGAGTATGACAGGAAAAGTGTACGGTAGGGTTATTATTGAAAGAATTAGAGGTAAGACAGAATGTAGGATTGCAGATGAGCAAGGAGGTTTCAGAGTGGGTAGGGGATGTGTAGATCACATGTTTACATTGAAGCATATATGTGAACAGTATTTAGATAAAGGTAGAGAAGTTTTTATTGCAATTATGGATTTAGAAAAGGCATATGATAGAGTGGATAGGGGAGCAATGTGGCAGATGTTGCAAGTATATGGAATAGGTGGTAAGTTACTAAATGCTGTAAAGAGTTTTTATGAGGATAGTAAGGCTCAGGTTAGGGTGTGTAGAAGAGAGGGAGACTACTTCCCGGTAAAAGTAGGTCTTAGACAGGGATGTGTAATGTCACCATGGTTGTTTAATATATTTATAGATGGGGTTGTAAAAGAAGGAAATGCTAGGGTGTTCGGGAGAGGGGTGGGATTAAATTATGGGAAATCAAATACAAAATGGGAATTGACACAGTTACTTTTTGCTGATGATACTGTGCTTATGGGAGATTCTGAAGATAAATTGCAAAGGTTAGTGGATGAGATTGGGAGTGTGTGTAAAGGTAGAAAGTTGAAAGTGAACATAGAAAAGAGTAAGGTGATGAGGGTATCAAATGATTTAGATAAAGAAAAATTGGATATCAAATTGGGGAGGAGGAGTATGGAAGAAGTGAATGTTTTCAGATACTTGGGAGTTGACGTGTCGGTGGATGGATTTATGAAGAATGAGGTTAATCATAGAATTGATGAAGAAAAAAAGGTGATTGGTTTGTTGAGGTATATGTGGAGTCAAAAAACTTTATCTATGGAGGCAGAGAAGGGAATGTATGAATGTATAGTAGTACCAACAATCTTATATGGGTGTGAAGCTTGGGCTTTGAATGCAGCAGTGAGTAGGCGGTTGGAGGCAGTGGAGATGTCCTGTCTAAGGGCAATGTGTGGTGTAAATATTATGCAGAAAATTCAGAGTGTGGAAATTAGGAGAAGGTGTGGAGTTAATAAAAGTATTAGTCAGAGGGCTGAAGAGGGGTTGTTGAGGTGGTTTGGTCATTTAGAGAGAATGGATCAAAGTAGAATGACATGGAGAGCATTTAAATCTGTAGGAGAAGGAAGGCAGGGTAGGGGTCATCCTCGAAAAGGTTGGAAGGAAGGGGTAAGGGAGGTTTTATGGGCGAGGGGCTTGGACTTCCAGCAGGCGTGCATGAGCGTGTTTGATAGGAGTGAATGGAGACGAATGGTATTTGGGACCTGACGATCTGTTGGAGTGTGAGCAGGGTAATATTTAGCGAAGAGATTCAGGGAAACCGGTTATTTTTATATAGCCGGACTTGAGTCCTGGAAATGGGAAGTACAATGCCTGCACTCTAAAGGAGGGGTTCGGGATATTAGCAGTTTGGAGGGACATGTGTATCTTTATACGTATATGCTTCTAAACTGTTGTGTTCTGAGCACCTCTGCAAAAACAGTGATTATGTGTGAGTGAGGTGAAAGGGTTGAATGATGATGAAAGTATTTTCTTTTTGGGGATTTTCTTTCTTTTTGGGTCACCCTGCCTCGGTGGGAGACGGCCGACTTGTTGAAAAAAAAAAAATGTATATAATTAGCAATACATTTTTTTCATTTTACAAGGGTTTTCTAACATGATTTGTGTGTTAATATGTGAAACATAGGCAGAGTGTTAAATCTTAAATTTTTCTGTAGTAGGAATAGACCCATGAAAGTGTTTACCAGGCCTAAGTTTAAAAAATTGGCACTTTGTAGCTCTTCGGTATACTTGATGTCACTTCCCTCACCATCACTGTTGTACTTTACTATTATGTAATAATGTGAGCAGCTATTTCTGTTAAAAGAAAGTGCTTAGGCACTACACTTAGCCACCTTTACACATCTGAACCTTGAATCAATACATGTACCTCAAATCTACACCACTTTTTAAGTTTTCTAGTTCTTTTCTCCACCCATTGGGAGACTGAGCTTGAATCCAGTCTATCATAGAGAAGCTTGTTACAGAAGGTGATTAAAATGCCAGGAGTGAAGCAGTGGTTACTCCTGTATTTGTACTTAACCCTTTCAGGGTTGGTGCGTACTAGTACGGCTTGCATGCCAGGGTTGGTTTACCTGGACTTTACCTGGAGAGAGTTCCGGGGGTCAACGCCCCTGCGGCCCGGTCTGTGACCAGGCCTCCTGGTGGATCAGAGCCTGATCAACCAGGCTGTTGCTGCTGGCTGCACGCAAACCAACGTACGAGCCACAGCCCGGCTGATCAGGAACTGACTTTAGGTGCTTGTCCAGTGCCAGCTTGAAGACTGCCAGGGGTCTGTTGGTAATCCCTCTTATGTGTGCTGGGAGGCAGTTGAACAGTCTCGGGCCCCTGACACTTATTGTATGGTCTCTTAACGTGCTAGTGACACCCCTGCTTTTCATTGGGGGGATGGTGCATCGTCTGCCAAGTCTTTTGCTTTCGTAGTGAGTGATTTTCGTGTGCAAGTTCGGTACTAGTCCCTCTAGGATTTTCCAGGTGTATATAATCATGTATCTCTCCCTCCTGCATTCCAGGGAATACAGTTTAGGAACCTCAAGCGCTCCCAGTAATTGAGGTGTTTTATCTCCGTTATGCGCGCCGTGAAAGTTCTCTGTACATTTTCTAGGTCGGCAATTTCACCTGCCTTGAAAGGTGCTGTTCGTGTGCAGCAATATTCCAGCCTAGATAGAACAAGTGACCTGAAGAGTGTCATCATGGGCTTGGCCTCCCTAGTTTTGAAGGTTCTCATTATCCGTCCTGTCATTTTTCTAGCAGATGCGATTGATACAATGTTATGGTCCTTGAAGGTGAGATCCTCCGACATGATCACTCCCAGGTCTTTGACGTTGGTGTTTTGCTCTATTTTGTGGCCAGAATTTGTTTTGTACTCTGTTGAAGATTTAATTTCCTCATGTTTACCATATCTGAGTAATTGAAATTTCTCATCGTTGAACTTCATATTGTTTTCTGCAGCCCACTGAAAGATTTGGTTGATGTCCGCCTGGAGCCTTGCAGTGTCTGCAATGGAAGACACTGTCATGCAGATTCGGGTGTCATCTGCAAAGGAAGACACGGTGCTGTGGCTGACATCCTTGTCTATGTCGGATATGAGGATGAGGAACAAGATGGGAGCGAGTACTGTGCCTTGTGGAACAGAGCTTTTCACCGTAGCTGCCTCGGACTTTACTCTGTTGACGACTACTCTCTGTGTTCTGTTAGTGAGGAAATTATAGATCCATCGACCGACTTTTCCTGTTACTCCTTTAGCACGCATTTTGTGCGCTATTACGCCATGGCCACACTTGTCGAAGGCTTTTGCAAAGTCTGTATATATTACATCTGCATTCTTTTTGTCTTCTAGTGCATCTAGGACCTTGTCGTAGTGATCCAATAGTTGAGACAGACAGGAGCGACCTGTTCTAAACCCATGTTGCCCTGGGTTGTGTAACTGATGGGTTTCTAGATGGGTGGTGATCTTGCTTCTTAGGACCCTTTCAAAGATTTTTATGATATGGGATGTTAGTGCTATTGGTCTGTAGTTCTTTGCTGTTGCTTTACTGCCCCCTTTGTGGAGTGGGGCTATGTCTGTTGTTTTTAGTAACTGTGGGATGACCCCCGTGTCCATGCTCCCTCTCCATAGGATGGAAAAGGGTCATGATAGGGGCTTCTTGCAGTTCTTGATGAACACAGAGTTCCATGAGTCTGGCCCTGGGGCAGAGTGCATGGGCATTTCATTTATCGCCTGTTCGAAGTCATTTGGCGTCAGGATAACATCGGATAGGCTTGTGTTAATGAAATTTTGTGGCTCTCTCATAAAAAATTCATTTTGATCTTCGACTCTCAGTCTGGTTAGTGGCTTGCTAAAAACTGAGTCATATTGGGACTTGAGTAGCTCACTCATTTCCTTGCTGTCATCTGTGTAGGACCCATCTTGTTTAAGTAGGGGCCCAATACTGGACGTTGTTCTCGATTTTGATTTGGCATAGGAGAAGAAATACTCTGGGTTTCTTCCGATTTCATTTATGGCTTTTAGTTCTTCCCGCGATTCCTGACTCCTAAAGGATTCTTTTAGCTTAAGTTTGATGCTTGCTATTTCTCTGACCAGTGTCTCCCTACGCATTTCAGATATATTGACCTCTTTTAGCCGCTCTGTTATTCTTTTCCGTCGCCTGTAAAGGGAGCGCCTGTCTCTTTCTATTTTACATCTACTCCTCCTTTTTCTTAGAGGAATAAGCCTTGTGCATACATCGAGTGCCACCGAGTTAATCTGTTCTAGGCATAAGTTGGGGTCTGTGTTGCTTAGTATATCTTCCCAGCTTATATCGGTTAGGACTTGGTTTACTTGGTCCCACTTTATGTTTTTGTTATTGAAGTTGAATTTGGTGAATGCTCCCTCATGATAGTCTCATTATGTCGGTCTGGGGCTCCACGCATACATGTCTGAACCTCAATTATGTTGTGATCTGAGTATATTGTTTTTGATATGGTGACATTTCTTATCAGATCATCATTGTTAGTGAAGATGAGTCTAGTGTATTCTCCAGTCTAGTAGGCTCTATTATTTGCTGGTTTAAATTGAATTTTGTGCAGAGATTTAAAAGCTCGTGTGAGTGTGAGTTTTCATCAGAGCTGCCTCCTGGTGTTATTACTGCAACAATATTATTTGCTATATTCCTCCATTTTAGGTGCCTTAAGTTGAAATCCCCCAGGAGCAAGATGTTGGGTGCAGGAGCTGGAAGATTTTCCAGACAGTGGTCAATTTTTAACAGCTGTTCCTGGAATTGCTGGGATGTTGCATCCGGAGGCTTGTAGACTACCACAATGACTAGGTTTTGGTTCTCGACCTTTACTGCTAAAACTTCCACTACATCATTTGAGGCATTAAGCAGTTCTGTGCAAACAAGTGACTCTGCAATGTACAGGCCAACCCCCCCCCCCCCTTTTGCCTGTTCACTCTGTCACATCTGTATAGGTTGTAACCTGGGATCCATATTTCGTTGTCCAAGTGATCCTTTATGCGGGTCTCAGTGAAAGCCGCGAACATTGCCTTTGCCTCTGCAAGCAGTCCACGGATGAAAGGTATTTTGTTGTTTGTTGCTGGCTTTAGACCCTGTATATTTGCAAAGAAGAATGTTATCGGACTGGTGGTATTGTTGGTACTGGGGGGGGGGGATTTTTTTTTCAGCATTAGTATCTGTATCTGTTGGTTTGGAGTGGAGGCCATCGACTGTGGTTCCACTCCAGGAATGACTGGATTTGGTGTACGATTTCTGCCATTTCCTGCCAGTTTTTTTTCCTTCCTGGCACTAAAAAACCTCTCCCTCTTGAGTGGCTGTGGCTACCCAGGTTTTCCCATGGCCTGGATGTTTTGTATCTTTTTGTCCCCTTTAGATGGTATGCCTGGCAATTTAAGTTATAGCACAGTCTTTCCTGTACTGAAGAGGTACACAGTTCAGGGTGAAAAAGCTTAAAGGAAGGGAGTTTGCATTTTCCTGTTGTCATATGGGCATGGCATTTTCTAGGGTGGTCATAGTTGCACGTCCCATCTGTTTTTCCAGATTTCCCATGCCAGCAGATACCAAGTGCATAGTATGGTGCCGTACTAGTACGCATAAATTCTAGTGCTTTCAAATCTAGCGAGAGAAAGCTGGTAGGCCTACATATGTTGTCAATGTGCACAATATAAAAAAAGTCCTGCAGCACACAGTGCATAGTAAGAAAAGAAAAAGTCCGACCGTGTTTTACTTTAAAACTGATTTTGCAGTGTATTTTCGTATGCTATTTATGGTTGTATTCTAGTTTTCCTGGTCTCATTTTATAGAATGGAAGACATATTACAGAAATTGAGATGATTTTGATTGGTTTCACAATGAAAAGTACCTTGAAATTGAGCTCAGAGTAGTAGAAATGTTCGTTTTTTGCCAAGTTCAAAAGTAAACAAATCATGCCATGTGTCCAATACACGTCAACTGGTGAGTTGACGTGTATTGGACACAAGTGCGCTGATATTATTTATACCATTTCTACACTAATGCAGTAGTCTGTATAACAGTAAATCTTCTATTTTTTTGCGAGAATAAAAATTCAAAGTGGAAAGCAAAAGAAATGTAAAAGAGGCCTGGGGACGTGACTAATGAACAGAATTTTTTTTATTTTAGTGCCAGGAATGTCTGTCTGGTTTATTATGGACCCTATTTGGAAATTGGCATCTTTTGAAATTTGTGTGAAATTGGCAAAATTGCCGATTTCTGACCACTTTATTGGATAGTTGAAATCGGTAAATGGGTGGTTTCTTGTATTCATTCGATAGAAAAAATGGAGTTCTAGCGAAATAGTTATGATTTTTGTCGACTGGTACATTGGAATTGGTGGATAATAGGGCTCAAATTGGATGAAATCGCCAATGCATAAACATCGTCGAGACTGCTAACTTTGCAAGAGCATAATTCTGTAAGTTTTCCATCAAATTTCATATTTTTGGTGTCATTATGACCGGGAAAAGACTATCATTTCATAAGTTTTTTTTTTTTTTTTGAAAAATTTCTGACCCTGAGAACAAGTTTAGGACAGGGCTTGCTGAGCCTGAAAGGGTTAATAGTCCAAAGGGCTGCATAAGTGAGTTTTTTTTTTTTGAATATCACATTATATTTTCTCAGTATTTATTATTTGATATTTTTTAATTATTTATTATTTGATATGTCAGATTAATCATATTTGGTTAATGTATTTTTCTTCCTTTCAGATTGATAACAACACCAGTTATGAAAAAAAGAAGTGGTCCAAAATGATAAGGGATGATTTGTTAATGGGTAATGCTCGCCCCCAGCAGAGAATATATGTTGAACTTCCAAGCAGCAAAGCTCATGTTCACACAGTCTTGGTAAAGGTATAATACATTGTCTTGTAATTTTTTGCTAGAATGTCATAGCATGTCTAACAACATTCCTGCATGTTCTGCAGCTATAGAATTTAATGTTTATACGTGTTACAAAGTCTTTTATCATTTAACTTATTGAAAATTTTTTTTTAGCAAAATTGGATACATTAGCATGTGCACCTGTCTGACAGTTACATGTTAAGAACAGAGCTTGCTATGTTTCCCAGTCATATCATATCATACAAGGTGGATTTCAGTCTTAAAACTTGTCAGTTTGAACTGGAAGACCTCTCTCATAATAAGCAATAATCATTCCTGAAAATTGGTGCCCCAGTAAAAATTAGCATTGTGTGAAGTGAAGAACAGATATGAATTATTAGATTTTGTTTCAGACACTGAAAATTTATAAATCAACTAAAAAAACCATACCACAGGTGGGGATTGAGCTCATGATGAGTGAGTTGTAAAACTCCAGGCCAGCGAGTTCAGTCCCCGTCCTTGGTATGGTTTGTTTGCAATCATGTCATTACAATTTCATGAGTCAGTTATTGAGCAACTGTTTTTCATTTAATACTATGTAAAAATTACAACAGTTTAGCTTGCATTACATTTTGTTGGTCATACCTTGAGTATGTTAGGTAAGACACATATGCAACAGTTAGGTATCTTTATTATGAAACGTTTCGCCTACACAGTAGGCTTCTTCAGTCAAGTACAGAAAAGTTGATAGAAGCAGAAGATACTTGAAGACGATGTAATCAGTCCATCACCCTTAAAGTTTTGAGGTGGTCAGTCCCTCAGTCTGGAGAAGAGCATTGTTCCATAGTATGAAACAATATGAAACAATGAAACCTTGAGTATACTGGAAGTATCTGAAGATTGTGGGTAGGGTGCCTTTGAGCCTACTAGGGTGAGTAGGAGGTAGCATAGTTTATTAGTTGACATCTCCTTTGCAACTGCAAGGAGTTATTGCTGAATATCTAAAATGCCATAACAGCCTCAGGACATTTCCCAGGAGTGTTCATACTGCGCTTGTACTTCTGCTGGAGGTATGGAACTAGGTTGATGCTAGTAGTCACCATAAATAGCTTATTTGTTTGGTTTGGCAGGGCCTTAACGAGAGCTAAGAACTTAGCTCTTATTTGCAGTAAAAGTTGAGGCTCCCTCATGTATTAGTATGTTGTGGATGGAACTATTTATGCATGCTCTGCAAAAAGCTTGAAGCCCCATTTGTCTGATTTGATTCTGATGTATTGCTCAATGTTACCATTATAGGCAACCATGACTTTATTGACTGTGCAGGGGTTCATGAAGCTTTCCTGATCTGATTTTGAAGAACCTAACTGCAGCTCTCTTTTTGGGTGTTATTGAAGTGCAAGAGCCTTCAAATGAACTTAAGTCTCTTATCACTCATCATATCTGCAGTATGAGGAATCCTAGTCATCATGGCCCAGTAGTCATTGTTGAAAGTTGCCATTCCCATGAACATGAAGATGTCTAATTTTTTTTTTTTTTTTATTTTTTGTGCATGCAGGTTTGTTTGTCAGGCAGTGTGGTACATAGTGACTACTTGAAAGAAGTACTCTGAAGGGGCTGTCACATTAGTTGTAGCCTCATGTACCAAGTGTGTGTTGATAAACCTTGCTATATCTACCTTGGTCCAGTAGGCCCACATTCACCTTCCCATATTCCTCAAATGCTTCAAGTAATGACTATCAATAAGGGAAAATAAATGGATGAACACCTAGGTAGTAGGTTGGTAAACAGCAACCGCCCAGGGAAGTACTACCGTCCTGCCAAGTGAGTGTAAAACGGAAACCTGTAATTGTTTTACATGATGGTAGGATTGCTGGTGTCTTTTTTCTGTCTCATAAACATGCAAGATTTCAGGTACGTTTTGCTACTTCTATTTACACTTAGGTCACACTACACATACAAGTACAAGCATATATATACACACCCCTCTGGGTTTTCTTCTATTTTCTTTCTAGTTCTTGTTCTTGTTTATTTCCTCTTATCTCCATGGAGAATTGGAACAGAATTCTTCCTCCTTAAGCCATGCGTGTTGTAAGAGGCGACTAAAATGCCGGGAGCAAGGGGCTAGTAACCCCTTCTCCTGTATATATTACTAAATTTAAAAGGAGAAACTTTCGTTTTTTCTTTTGGGCCACCCCACCTCAGTGGGATACGGCTGGTACGTTGAAAGAAAGAAGAAATGGATGAACAATAGTGCAGTGAGAAAGACACTGAGGTTTGTAAATACACAGTAGAACCTCCAATTTTGAACATATCGCTTATCGAAGTCTTCGAAAATCGATCGCTTTTTTCGAACCAACTTTGTCCCTATTATTGAACTTGCCCCTTCTTTCGAACCTCCAGGTACCAGACCTGTCCGCCAGCCCACTCTGTCCGCGTCCCCGTGCAGGTGTCGTGAGCCAGTCTGGCTTTGTTGATGCTTTAGTGAATACTAACCTGCGGTCTCATTCAAACATTTTACAATAAATTCATTGTGTTTAGTGCTTGTGGTACTGTGAAATAAGCTACCATGGGCCCAAAGAAACTTCCTAGTGGTACCCCTGTGGTAAAGAAAGTGAGAAACACCATAGATGTGAAGAAGGAAATAATACAGAAGTATGAGAGTGGTGTGCGACTTGTTGAGCTTGCCAGGATGTATGGGAAAAACAAGTCGACCATCACTTATATCCAGGCAAAGAAAGAACAAATCAAGGAAGCTGATGTTGCAAAAGGTGTTGATCTGCTAACCAAAAAAAGACCACAGACAATCGATCAGGTTGAGAAGTTGTTGCTGGTGTGGATCAAGGATAAAGAGATGGCAGGTGATAGTGTTTCAGAGATGATTACTTGTGAAAAGGCAAGGAAGTTGCATGCCGATTCAAAGATTAAGGAGATTTGCGCCAAGTGGAATGATGTCCAAATGTTTGTGGAGAAGTACCACCCTGAGCAAGCTGAAACAAGCCATCTTTGCAACAAGTTCAGTGACAGAACCATGTCCCATTTTAGGGAAATCTTAAAGAGGCACCAGAAATAGAGGACTGTGGACAGTTTTTTTGTGAGACAGGGGTCCAGTGACTCTCAAGCTTTGATACCTAAAGTCCTTATGGAGGGTGATTCTCCTTCCAAACACTAACCCCAACTTCCTCTCTCCTCCCTATCTTCCAGGTACCATCACCAATCTTGAATAAGGGTAAGTAAAAATGTTATTTTATATGTTTATTTAAATGTATTAATAATTGTATACTATATTTGTTGTGTGTATGTAAAACTATAATGTAATGCTATCTATAAAATGTATTTTTTGTGAATATTTTTGAGTTTCTGGAACAGATTAATTGTATTTTCATTATTTCTTATGGGAAATACATCTATTGCTTTTCCTTTCAAACTTTTCGACTTTAGAACTAGCTCCTGGAATGGATTAAGTTCAAAATTTGAGGTTCCACTGTAGTGTATTTTTCACAAGGGAAGATAAATTATTATTTGTACTTAGTAGCATTTTGTAATTTGGAGATAGTGGAACCCTGAGTTTCGGCTGCCCTGAGTGTCAGCCGCTTCGAGTTTCAACCGCTTTTTTCGGCCAGATTTTGTCCCGAGTTTCGGCCGTTGCCCTTTGTTTCAGCCGGCATACCAGACCTGTCCGCGCCTGTGCGCCTCCCCACACAGGCATCATGAGCCAGTCTAGCTTTGTTTACCCTTGAGTGAACATTACCCTGCACACTCATCCAAACATTTCACAATAAATCCATTGTGTTTAGTGCTTGTTTATTTATTGTGACTGTGAAACAAGCCACCATGGACCCAAAGAAACTTCATAGTGGCAGTGAGGCAGTGGTGGAGGCAGTATTGGAGGCAGTGGTTGAGGCAGTGGTGGAGGCAGTGGTGGAGGCAGTGGTGGAGGCAGTGGTTGAGGCAGTAGTGGAGGCAGTGGTGGAGGCAATAATAAGTCCTCCCTCTCTCCTCCCCTCTATCTTCCAGATGCCAGCAAGAGTCTTCATAAAGGTACGTAAATGTGATTTTAAATCTTTATTTAAATGTTTATGTATTGTATTACTCATTTAACCCTTTGACTGTCGAAACCCCAAATCCTGAGGTGTCTCCTGGTGTTGCAAAATATTTGAAAAAAGTTATTTTTTTCCTATGAAATGATAGAGAATCTTTTCCCAATTGTAATGACAACAAAAGTACGAAATTTGATGGAAAACTTACGGAATTACGCTCTCGCGAAGTTAGTGACCTCGGCGATGTTTACGAATCTGCGATTTCGCCCACTTTGAGCCATATTTTTGGCTAATTCCATTGTTCCAGTTGACCAAACTCATAACTATTTCTTTATAACTCCATTTGTTCTATCGATTGAGTACAAGAAACTGCCCATTTACCGATTGCAACTACCCAATAAAGTGGTCAGAAATTGGCAATTTGGCCAACTTCATGCAAATTAAAAAATATGCCAGTTTCAAAATAGGATCCAGAATGAACAATGTAGACATTCCTGGCTCTAAAATAACATTTTCTTTGTTCATCAGTCATGTCTCCAGGCCCCTCTGATATTACTCTTGCTTTCTATTTTGAATTTTTATTCAAACAAAAAATAGAAGATTTACTGTTATGCAGACTAATGGAATATTGTAATAATTATATAAATAATATCAACCAATTCATGACTGCATATTAGAATTGCTAGTTGGACATTTATTGGACAATGGCATCATTTGTTTACTCTTGAACATTGGCAAAAATCAAACATTTTCCCTACTTTGAGCTCCATTTCAAGGTTCTTTTCACAATAAAACCAATCACAATCACCTCTATTTCTATAACATGTTTTCCATTCTATCAAATGTGACTACTAAAACGAGAATACAGTGGACCCTCGACTAACGCTATTAATCCGTTCCTGAGAGCTCATCATTAGTCAAAATAATCGTTAGTCAAGTTAATTTTCCCCATAAGAAATAATGGAAATCAAATTAATCCGTGCAAGACACCCAAAAGTATTGAAAAAAAAAATTTTAACACATGAAATATTAATTTTAATACACACAAACGGAAGAAGACATGCACAGTTACATGACACTTACCTTTATTGAAGATCTGGTGATGATTGATGGGATGGGAAGAGGGGAGTGTGTTGATGGTCTTAGTGTTTAGAAGGGGAATCCCCTTCCATTAGGACTTGAGGTGGCAAGTCCTTTTTTGGGGTTACTTCCCTTCTTTTAATGCCACTAGGACCAGCTTGAGAGTCACTGGACCTCTGTCGCACAACATATCTGCCCATAGAGGCCTGTACCTCCCGTTCCTTTATGACATTCCTAACGTGTTTCACAACATTGTCAGTGTCACCATTAAACACTTGTTCAGGTTTCAGTCCTTCACTGTCTATGTACTCCTTGAATTCCTGCACATATTTTTCAGCTGCTTTTTGGTCCAAACTGGCAGCCTCACCATGCCTTATCACACTATGTATGCCACTACGATTCTTAAATCTCTCAAACCAACCTTTGCTGGCCTTAAATTCACTCACATCACCACTAGTTGCTGGCATTTTTCTAATTAAATCATCATGCAACTTCCTAGCCTTTTCACATATGATCGCTTGAGAGATGCTATCTCCTGCTATCTGTTTTTCGTTTATCCATACCAATAACAGTCTCTCAACATCTTCTATCACTTGCGATCTCAGTTTCGAAAACATAGTTGCACCTTTGGCAAGAACAGCTTCCTTGATTGCCGTTTTCTTGGCCACAATAGTAGCGATGGTTGATTGGGGTTTTGTGTACAGCCTGGCCAGCTCGGAGACATGCACTCCACTTTCATACTTAGCAATGATCTCTTTCTTCATATCCATAGTAATTCTCACCCTTTTTGCTGTAGGGTTGGCACTAGAAGCTTTCTTGGGGCCCATGGTGACTTATTTTGCAGGTGCAATCACTAAAAAGGCTGTGATAATATGAAATGTTCCGATTGTATGCTTGGAAGTGACTGCGGTGGCTGGCTGGCTTGTAAACACTGGCCAGAAGTGGACGCGTCTCAGATGGAAGGAATAGTGTTGGTCGAGTTTTTTAGCGCTAATCGAGGCAAAATTTTTGCGATAAAATGTATCGCTAGTCAGATTTATCGTTAATCGATGCCATCGCTGGTCGAGGGTCCACTGTATAACCATAAAACCTATACGAAAATACACCTCAAAGTCGGCGTTTTAATCCAAAAACATGGTCAGTTTTTTTTTCTCATTATGCACTGCATGCTGCAGGATTTTTTTTATATGGATATGGTGCACACTGACCACACAGACCCATTCTCTTACATTTGGGCCTACCAGGTTTCTCCTGCTTGATTTGAAGCTGCTAGAATTTTTAAGTATATATACGTCAAACACGGTGACTCATAAGATGTACATATACGACCGAAACAGTCAAAGGGTTAATACTATATGTATGTTTCGGCTCCTGGAATGGATTACGGCTGAAACTCTGGGTTCCACTGTACATGAACGGTATATAATACTGCAACATCTGGGTATCTTTGTAAATGTTTCACCATCCAGTGGCTTTATCAGTACAGTGGACCCCTGGTTTTCATCCGGTCTGGATATTGTACAATTCGAATTTTGACCACTTTTTTCAGCATTTTTTTTACCCTGGGTTTCATACCTCCGCTTGGAAATCGTTTGTATGAGACGCATCCATCCACCCGGGACGTGGCCCCCACTCACACGTACGTGACTCAGTCTGCTTTTGTTACTCATAGAGAATGGTCGTGATGGTGGTAGAGGGTGGTGGTGATAGTGGTTGTGATGGTGGTAGTGATTGTGGTAGAGGGTGGTAGTGATTGTGGTAGAGACAACTTCTCCCTCTTCCCTCCTCGCTGTCTTCCGTACGCCAACAAGAGTCTTCAATAAAGGTAAAAGTGATGTTAAATGTTCATTTATCAATTTCATTAGTGTTTTATATTTATTTCTCATTGTTTTCTGTATGTAAAACTATGGTTATTCTCTGTAAAATGTATTATTTTTTGTTAATATTTTTGGGTGTCTGGAACAGATTAATTAAATTTACGTTATTTCCCGTGGGAAATATTACTTTGGTTTTTGTCCATTTCGGATTTCAACCGACTTTCTGGAACGGATTAAGGATGAAAACTGGGGGTCCACTGTACATACAAGGACATTATGTGAAGACTGTAGAACTGTATACAAAAGAGGGGATAATTGGTCCTGTAGCCGTAGAGTTGGTGATGAGCACCATAATCTTGAAGAATCTGAAGCACAGGCAGGAAGATTGGTGCTTTTATAAAAGCACTTATTCACATGGCTTGTAATGAATTTTGTATGATTGTAGTATGTTTAATTTTCAGGTATGATACAGTACTGTATTATCTTGATGTAGTTGTGAGTTATTGTAACATCATAATGTCAGTGGCAAAGATACACCATTTATTTTTTAATTTCAGAGAGTAAATGAGGACACATTGAGCAGACATAACCCACCTCACTGTTTAATCTGCAATGCTAAACTGTCAGCATCTGCCAGGTCTGCCATTGCCATATTTTCTAGAGAGGTAAGAACACTTTTGAGTGATTACTGTATATGCATAATTTTTTAAAATTATTTTTTTTGTTCTAGAGAACATTTTTAACCCTTTGACTGTCGCGGCCGTATATATACGTCTTACGAGGTACCATGTTTGACGTATATATACTCATAAATTCTAGCGGCTTCAAATCAAGCAGGAGAAAGCTGGTAGGCCCACATGTGAGAGAATGGGTCTGTGTGGTCAGTGTGCACCATATAAAAAAAATCCTGGAGCATGCAGTGCATAATGAGAAAAAAAAAACTCCGACCGTTTTTTTAATTAAAATGCCGACTTTGTGGTCTATTTTCGTATAGTATTTATTGTTGTATTCTCGTTTTCTTGGTCTCATTTGATAGAATGGAAAACATATTATAGAAATAGAGGTGATTTTGATTGATTTTACTATAAAAAGAACCTAGAAATGGAGCTCAAAGTTGGGGAAATGTTTGATTTTTGCCAATGTTCAAAAGTAAACAAATGATGCCATTGTCCAATAAATGTCTAACTAGCCATTCTAATATGCAGTCATGAATGGGTTGATGTTATTTATACAATTATTACAGTATTGAAGTAGTCTGCATAATAGTAAGTCTTCTATTTTTTGTTTGAATAAAAATTCAAAATAGAAAGCAAGAGTAATATTAGAGGGGCCTGGAGACATGACTGATGAGCAAAGAAAATGTTATTTTAGAGCCAGGAATGTCTGCATTGTTCATTCTGGACCTTATTTTGAAGTTGTCATATTTTTTAGTTTTCGTGAAATTGGCCAAATTGCAAATTTCTGACCACATTATTAGGTAGTTGAAATCGGTAAATGGGCAGTTTCTTGTACTCAATCGATAGAAAAAATAGAGTTCTAAAGAAATAGCTATGAGTTTGGGCGACTGGAATAGTGGAATTAGCTGAAAATAGGGCTCAAAGTGGGCGAAATCGCCGATTTGTAAACAGCGCTGAGGTCGCTAACTTCGCGAGAGCATAATTCCGTCAGTTTTCCATCAAATTTTGTTTTTTTGGTGTCATTACAATCGGGAATAGATTCTCTATCATTTTATAAGAAAAAATAATTTTGTTTTTTTTTGAAATTTTGCGACACCAGGAGACACCTCAGGATTGGGGGTTGCGACAGTCAAAGGGTTAAATATCTTATGTGTTATGAATTTTTTTTTTAAAATATGAAAAAAAGTGTACCAAACTCAGTTTAATTAAATGAAAAATTTTCATCATTTTTTTTTAACATCAGTGATTTCCCACCATGGTAAGATAACTCTCAAAAAATAACAAAGTTCAGATGACACTTCATACAGCAACATCCCCAACTTTCCTTTGGTGCTCAGGAACTGTACTTTCCATATTCAAGGCTAAAGTCAAGCCTACTGGTTTTCCCTGAATCCCTTCAAAAATGTTTACATTGCTCATACTGCTACAGCATGTTAATGTGTCCATACTCGCTTGTTGGATGCTCAATTATTATTATTATTATTACTATTATGATCAAAAAAGCGCTAAGCCACAAGGGCTATATAGCACTGCAGGGTAGGGAAGGAAGCGAGGGTATTGGGTGGCAGAAGGGGGTAGGGATGATCAGTAGTTTACAGAAAACAGCGGGGCAGGGGATAGTGCGGGGGCAGAGGGTAGCAAGAGATTGAAGTAGAAAGGGCTGAAGGTATCATCAGAGTTTGTGAAGTAAGTCAGTTGTTGTCAAAAAGTCAATGAGAGAGTCCGGATGAAAGGTAGGTCCATCAGCAAGAAGGGAAGGTAAAGAGAGAGCAGCAGAGCGAAGACGACGTCAGAGGTAAATTCTGTGTGCTCGTTGATAAAGTGGGCAGTCTAACAGAATGTGGCTGACCGATAATGGAACCTGACAATTCTCACAGCGAGGAGCAGGGGGCCTCTCCATGAGATATCCACGAGTAAGACGAGTATGGCCAGTGCGAAGATGGGAGAGAGGAGTCTCCCAACCTCGACACTGGTGACAAGAAGACAGCAGTAACCTATACTCGGTTTAATAGATTGAAGTTTGTTACCGAGCAGAGTAGACCAATGTTGTTGCCAATGGGTGTGAAGGTGGGTAGCTATTGCAGCAAAATAGTCCGTAAATGGAGCAACTCTACATGAAACTGGTAGGTTATGTACTGCTGACCGCGCAGCAGTGTCTGCCTGTTCATTGCCCTGTACGTCAACATGACCAGGGACCCAACAAAAAACAATATCTTTATGCTTGGTAGAGATGCGGCATAGCCAAAGTTGGATAGGGAGGACTAATGGGTGAGGTGTATCAAATTTCTGTATAGCCTGTAAAGCACTAAGGGAGTCTGAGACAACCACAAATGATGACACAGGCATAGATGCAATACGGATAAGTGCTGCAAGAATGGCATACAATTCAGCAGTAAAAATACTAGCCGAAGATAGTAAATGCCCTCGTATGACGCTGTCCAGAAACAATGCTGCGAATCCTATGCCGTCAGAAGACTTAGAGCCATCTGTGTACACTGCAATGGCATGAGAATGAGAGTGGAAAAAGAGAACGGGAAGCTACCGTAGACAGTTGGGCTTTCGAGCAAGGGAGCGAGAAAGAACAGACTCGAACAGCTGGAACTTCCCAGGGGGGTAGGGAAAAGTGAGATGCTACATGAACATAGAAAGGTGGTAATCGAAGAGAAGACAAGAGCGAATGTAGGTGAAGAGAGAAGGGACGAAGCAAACAGGGGCGGCGAACAAATAAAGAATGTCTACTAATATCGGTGACCATTCTATAAATGGAAGGATTGCGGAGATCATGAGAGCATACATAGTAGTGAAGGCAATGGGCATCACGGCGATCGGATAAGGATGGAATGTTCGCTTCTGCATAGAGGCTCTCAACAGGGGAAGAGCGAAAAGCACCAAGGCATAAACGTAATCCTTGGTGATGAATGGGGTTAAGGCTAGAGAGAGTAACAGGAGAGGCCGCTGAATAGATCTGGTCACCATAATCAAGTTTCGATAAAACGAGGGTGGAATGTAGGCGAAAGAGAGTTCGATGATCAGCTCCCCATAAAAGATGAGCAAGGGTTTTAAGAAGGTTCAGCCGGCTGTGACAGGTTGCCTTCAGAGAGGTAATGTGAGGTTTCCAGAATAACCTACGGTCAAAGAGGAGGCCTAGAAACCTGACTGTATCATGCTCAGGGATACGGGAGCCATAGAGGTACAAAGGATGATCGGAGATGACAGAGCATCTGGTGAAAGTAATTTGGTGAGTTTTGGTACTGGAAAATTTAAACCCATGTGTGGTGGCCCAATTGGAAACACGGTCGACAGCATGCTGGAGAGAATAATGAGGTGACAGTCAGCGCCTGCACAGGCAATAGCGAAGTCATCAACATATAGTGATGACCAAATATTGGATGAAAGACTAGAGACCAAATCATTTATAGCAAGGAGAAATAGTGTTGTGCTCAGAACCCATCCCTGGGGGACACCTTCAGCTTGGATAAATTCCGGGGAGAGCACATTATTAACCCGAACACGGAAATGTCTGTCAGTTAAAAAGTTCTTAAGGAAGGATGGTAGATTGCCTCGGAGGCCTAAGGAGTGGGCTTGGGCCAAAATATTATACCTCCAAGTTATGTCATATGCCTTCTCAAGGTCAAAAAATATGGCAATAATGGAGTGGTTATTCGCAAAAGCATTACGAACATACGTATCCAAGCGTAGTAAAGGGTCTGTGGTAGAACGGCTCTTATGAAAGCCATATTGATGAGTGGAGAGACTGGAGTTTACCTGGAGACCTGGAGAGAGTTCCGGGGGTCAATGCCCCCGCGGCCCGGTCTGTGACCAGGCCTCCTGGTGGATCAGAGCCTGATCAACCACTGTTGTGTGTCTCTAAATACCACACTAAACGTCTATTTACCAGGTGTTTCATCACTTTGCAAACAGCACTGGTAAGAGTAATGGGACAATAGTGGGAGGCTTCATGTCCCGTAGTACCCAGTTTGCGGAAAGGGAGAATAATGGCAGATTTCCACAGCTGTGGAAGAACTCCTTGTGACCAAATAAGATTGAAAAGGCATAATAGGACTGCAAGGGCTTACTGATGTAAATGTTGTAGCATACGAATATGAATGTCGTCGGGCCCAGCTGCCGATGATCGGCAAGCTGAGAGTGTTGCCTCCAGTTCCTGAAGTGTAAAAGCACATTATACTGTTCTTCTCTGAGAGAAGAAAAGTCCAAGGGTGCTAACTCTCTGGCAGACTTTGAGGAAAGAAACGAGGGGCATAGATGGAGCCCCTGAGAAATATGGACCAGATGATTGCCAATTTCATTGGCAACATCTAGTGGGTTTGCTATATCAACACCGGTAACCCGCAGAACAGGAGCCGGGTCAGGAGAATATTTACCACTCAGTTTTCGTACTTTTTTCCAGACTGCACTCAGAGGAAGCAGAGGTGATGGTGGAGACATAATCTCACCAGCAAGTGTGTTTAGCATCACGGATGACACAGCGAGCGATTGCACGCTTCTGCTTAAAATCAAGTAGTCTCTCCATGGTTTTGTTGTACCGGTACCTGCCCCACACAGCGTGTTTCAAACGTACTGCACGAGCACAAGCAGGAGACCACCAAGGCATGCATTTCTGAGAATGCCTGCCCGAAGTTTGGGGTATAGAATAAGAAGCTGCAGTTAAAATGGAGGGCGAGAAGAGGTGTAAAAGCTCATCAATGGAGGACGAAGAAGGAACCTCACTCAAAACAGTTAGTCGTGAGTAAAGGTTCCAATTTGCCTGATCAAATTGCCAGCGTGGGATACGAAGAGGTGGTGAATATGAAGGGGAAGTAAGAATGATTGGGAAATGATCGCTGTTATGTAAATCTGGGAGAGCAGACCAGGTGAAGTCTAATGCGGTGGAGGAAGAGCAGACTGAGAGATCGATGCAAGAGAGAGCATGAGTCCGAGGATCAAAATGGGTGTGAGTACCTGTATTTAAAACATGGAGGGGGTGGGTAGCAAGAAAAGCCTCTAACTGAATGCCACGGGAATCACAGTGAGACCCCCCCAGAGGAAATGATGGGCATTAAAATCGCCAAGTAACAGAAGTGGTGGCGGTAATGACGAAACAAGAAAGGCAATATCTGGGATAGATAATGCCTGAGAAGGAGAGAGATACAAAGAACAGAGTGTATACCACCTGTGCAAGTGAATACGGGCTGCTGTGTAATGTAGCGAAGTATGAACAAATAGCTGATGGTACGGAATATCAGTGCGTAGAAGGGCACTTTCATTAAAGGTCCCATCAGGAAAAGGATCTGAAGAATACAATAAATTATAGCCTGAGATGGGATAGATAACAGCAAAGTGTAATTTTGGTTCCTGTAAGCAAACACCAACAGGGGAAAACTGGGAGAGCAACATCTGAAGCTCTCCCCGATTACCCCTGAGGCCGCATATATTCCACTGTAAATAGGCCATGATTGGCAATGATAAAGATACCTGAAATCCACAGTTAAGGGTACCTACGGACTAGAGGGTGGCAAAGGAAAACGTTCAAGCAGCGAAGGAACGGTGCGCTGTGAAGAAAGGAGTTGTGCAGATGGAGAAGAGGAAAGAGAAGGAACAGAGGGTGGATCAGTGTCCATTGATGGTTTCCTCGCTGCAATATATTCAGAGATAGCTTCAAGTGTTTCGGAGTTCAGAGACGTCTGTATGGGAGACAATATTGGAGATGGAAGGAGGAGGAGTTTGAGTAAAGATCGGAACTGTAATGGACTGTACCAAGGTAGGGGGGGGGGTGAAAGGGTGGAGGGAACTGGAGAAGTGTGGGAGGGGATGGAAGAGGCAGAAACCTGGGAGGTGGCAGAAGAGGAAGAAACTTGGGGGGGGGGGACAGGGGAGGAAGGCACAGTACGAGGAGAAGGATGAGCCTCCACACTTGTAACAGAGCCAGTGAAAAGGGAAGACCCAGGTACAGAGACCAGGAAGGTAAAATGTGGAGGTGGATGAAGGGAAGGAGGGGTTAAGTGAGATTTTTTGGACCTCTGAGAAGTAGAGGGACGATTGGGAGGAGGTGTCGTACGAGGTCTTGTCGATACTGGGGTTTGTGAGGGAGAACACGAAGAAGTGAGGACAGACTGAGGTGTTGAAGTAGGGACGTCTGAGCCTAGGACAGCAAAAGAATTAGATACAGGAGTGACTATGGGACTGGCAACCGCAGAGGAGGCTGCAGAAGATGGGATCCCAGAAGTGGGGGGACGTTTTGAAACACGAGAATAAGAAACACGGGGTAGTCTCCCTTGGAGGCGGAGATGAGAAACTGCCATAGCATAAGGGAGACCTGCCTCTTTGAGGCAACGAATTTCCCGCTCATTTAAGTAGACCTGGCAACGGCAAGAGTACGAAGGGTGAGCCTCATGACAATTAAGGCAAGAGGGAGCTTGACTGCAGGACGTATTAGAATGGTCATCGGCACCACAGACTAGGCATTCGGCTATTGATCTGCAATATTTTGCTGGGTGGCCAAATCACCAGCAATTCCTACACTGTTGCGGTGTAGGGATCACCTTCCGAACTTGTAACCGATGTCCTGCTACATAAACAGAGGATGGGAGTTCACGGCTGTCAAAAGTTAAACGAGCCACATTGCAAGGGTATTGTCTTTGCCCGCGGGCAGGAAGAAAATAAGTGTCTACCTTGAGAATTGGGAGATCTTGGAATTCCAGCTGTTCGAGAATGCCATTGCCACATGTCTGGAAATTCTGTTGGACTATGGTAAGGGGCAGAATAACAGTACCACTACAAGAATTGAGGGAATGATGTTTTTCGATAGTGATAGGAATAGTATCGATATGTGAAAGAGAAAAATCGTGAGCTTGGGTAGAATTCTGGACTGTGATGATGCGCGTACCACTCTTAGGAGCATGAAAGGAAATATCTCTACCAACGTGGCATAGGAGCGCTTTGCCAATACTATGGTCGGAAAGATAGGCAGTAAAAGAAGTTGGTCGTAAAGTAAAGGATTTAGTCTATTGTGTGGTTCGAAACCGAGTGTGGAGAGGGAGTGCATGACGTGTCAGTCTTTTCCAAGTAGAATTGGAAGGTAATGAAGTAACATAGTCAGGAGATTGTTGTTGGCATTTAGAAGTGGGACCAGAGTTGGTCCGACGTGAGACGGGCTGGCGATTCGAAAATCACCGCACCACAGAGGGAGGGGCTGGAAGCATGGTCAAAGGAGATCGGAGGTCAGACAAATCGAAGGAGTCAGTCAAAACCCCGGCACCTGAAGCGGGTGACGAAACAGCACCAGCAAGAGGTACAGGGGCCTTAGGAATGTCCGAAGAGTGGCCAAAAGACGACGCGAGGTCAGAACGGGGTGCGGTAACAATAAGGGGCCTGGGGATGGCGGGGTCATGGATCGGGTACTCCATGGTTAGGTTACTTTCTTTTTGTTTTTAAGAAAAAAAAAAAAGAAAGAAGAAAAGAAAATAAAAATAAAAAAAAAGAAAAAAAAGGGGGGGGGGGACCGGGGAGGGATAGTTCCTAGGAGGAATGAAAGGGCCAGAAATCTCCCTCCGTGCCCAAGAGGACCTCAGCAATGCAAGTAGCGCAGATGCAGCATGGAACCCGTGCCATACCCTACCCTTCATGCCAGTAAACCAGCAATCTGGGATAGCAACCTCACATCTGCCAAGCTACCTCGGTGGACAAAAGAGAGGGCGGCCGGATATCCGCCACAAAGCATACCTCCTTCGGCCACCACCCCCGGAATCCGAAAGGTGGCTTCCAGAGATACACCCATCACCCGAAAGACACCCAAAGCCACCCTCCGGGATACCGGAGAGGGATTGGGACATCTCCAGGCGATCCAGATTCCACGGCAAACTATGCCACCACCAAGAACCTCAACGGAATGGGATGGACCTCGGTACCCTTTCCCCTACCTAGGAACTAGTGTGCCTGTGGGAAAAATCCCAAAGGTCAAAAAGAGGAAGGGCAAAAGGGAGGGGTGGGGAGGAGGAGGAGGAAAGGAAAAAGGGGAGGATGGGATAGAGAAGGGGGGATTGGGGGGTAATTAGGTTCGGTCTGAGGAAGGAGACCGACAGGTCTAATTCCTCAGACCAAGAGCTTCTTCACCACGCCAAGGAGCCCCCCTTGAAGAGGGGATGCTCAAGCTTCTATCACTTCACCCCCTTCCCCCACTTACAACCTCCTTCATCCCCTTCCCCCACTTACAACCTCCTTCACCTGCTTTCCTTTCACTCTAACCCTATTTGGTACTACTTATACACTTTCCCTTCCCCAGATTTATATACACTCTTTATCTTATCAGACTTCATGTTTTCTTAATGGCCAAACCACCCCAACAACCCTCCTTTGCCCTTTGAATTATACCAATATACTAACGAGTAAGATACGTGAAACATTTAGGAATCTTTATTCTTTAAATGTTTTGTCTGCACATCAGATGAATGCAGGTAAATATAACACTAGAGTCAGTAGAAGTGGAAAAGTAATTTTGAAGTGATTAGTTCCTTATAGAAGGCCTTGACAGAAGACTGCAATTACAGGTGTACAGCACTTATGTAAAATTATTATTATTACTATAGTATCAATATGTGATTATTGTGTTTCTAGGAAAACATTCCCGTAAGACATTTACCATTGTTCTAGGTACGAACATCCCACCGTCAGTTGGAGGTGCACTCTGTCCTCGGTGAAATTATCAACCAAGAGCTGAAGGAAACCTTGTTACATTCTACTGTCATTTGTAGCAAATGTTTTAACCTCATTGACGATATTGACTCTATTGAAGACCAGTTAAATAGTAAGAAGCAGGTATGTTGTATGGTCAGATGCCTTTAGTGACACTCATATGAGTAATAGGAAATTGAAAAATTTCTAAGATTTTAATATTTTACACTTAGTGCCTTCATTTACTTGTTGCCTTGCCTCCGGAATTCACTATTTAATAAAATAAATGGAGTTCCGCCCTGCCACCAAAATTCACTATTTAACCCCTAAACGGTAAAAACGTATATATACGTTCTTAACACTAGCGCCCTGAACGCATATATACGTTTTTTTTTCCTGCCTCCAAATTTGGCATGATTGGCCTGAGATGCCTGGTCAGTGTAGAATGGGTCTTTACACTCGATGTGCGCAGTATTAAAAAAATCTGCGACCCCTTGGTACCTTGTGGGAGCACCAGTTCAAAGGAGCGCCAACTAGAGCAAACAGTGCGGCAAACACCTGGGATTCACTGATTTCATGTAATATTAACTCTCCCATTTTCAGAGGAATGTGATGTTAACCCCAAGTTTAGTGGCTTTGAGGTGGATGTGGCCACAAGTGATTGAGGAAATATCAAAAACTTCGATAATAACCCATGTGCAACATTTGTGCAACACCCTTTAAGAATGTCTTATAACCTATGCCCTAAGTACATATAGAGAAACAATTCTGGAACCATGTTTGCCTGGCTGCCTGCCTGCCTGCCTGCCTGGCCGGCCGGCCGGCCAGCCAGCCGCGCCACCCGCCGCCCGCCCGCCCGCCCGCCACCCGCGCCCGCCGGCGCCGCTGCATGCTGGCACCGCGCTGGCTGGCTGGCTGGCTGGCTGGCTGGCTGGCTGGCTGGCTGGCTGGCTGCTGCTGGCTGTCGGCTGGCTGCCTGCCTGCTGGCTTTGCCTGGCTGGCTGCTGGCGTGGCTGGCCTGGCTGCCTGGCTGGCTGCTCCTGCCTTGCTGCTGCCTGCCTGCCTGTGGCTCATGGCTCTGGCTGGCTGCTTGGCTGCTGCCTGCCTGCCTGCTGGCTGGCTGGCTGGCCTGGCTGCCACCTGCCGCTGGCTGGCTGCTTGCCTGGCTGGCTCACTGGCTGGCTGGCTGCCTGCCTGCCTGCCTGCCTGCCTGCCTGCCTACCTACCTACCTGCCTGGCTGCTTGGCTGGCTGCCTGCCTGGCTGTCTGTTTGCCTGGCTGTCTGTCTGCCTGGCTGGCTGGCTGCTTTCCTGGCTGGCTGCCTGCCTTCCTGCCTGGCTGACTCACTGCCTGCCTGGCTGACTCACTGCCTGCCTGCCTGCCTGGCTGGCTGGCTGGTTGCCTGCCTGGCTGGCTGCCTGCCTTCCTGCCTACCTGCTTGCCTGGCTAGCTGGGTGGATGAGTGGCTGGCTGGCTGACTGGCCAGCTGGCTGCGTGCCTTGCTGCATGCCTGTCTGGTTGCCTACATGTCTGGCTGGCTGGCTACCTGGCTAGATGTCTGCCTGCCTGGATGCCTGACTGACTGGCTGGTCGGCTGGCTGGCTGACTGTCTGGCTGACTGTCTGGCTGGGTGGATGACTGGCTGGCTCGATGCCTGCCTGCCTGCCTGGATGTCTGCCTGCCTGGATGCCTGACTGTCTGTCTGGCTGGCTGGCTGGCTGGCTGGCTGGCTGAGCTGCCTGCCTGCCTGCCTGCCTGTCTGTCTGTCTGGCTGCCTGCCTGCCTCTCTGACTGCCTGGCTGGCTGCTTGGCTGGGTGGGTGGCTGGCTGGCTGGCTACCTTGCTGGCTGGCTGAGTGGCTGGCTGGCTTCCTGCCTGCCTGCCTGCCTGCCTGCCTGCCTGCCTTCCTACTTGGCTGGCTGCCTGCTTGTCTGGGTGGCTGGCTGGCTGCTTGGCTGATTGGCTGGCTGCCTGCCTGGGTACCTGGCTTACTAGCTGACTGCCTGCCCTGCCTGCCTGCCTGGCTTCCTACATGCCTGGCTGGCTTGTTGGCTGTATGCCTTCCTGGCTGACTGTCTGCCTGCTTGGCTGGGTGGCTGCCTGCTTGGCTGGGTGGCTGCCTGGCTGGCTGCTTGGCTGAGTGGCTGGCTGGATGGCTGCCTGCCTTCCTCCTGGCTGGCTGGTTGGCTGCTTGCCTTGCTTTCTACCTGTTTGGCTGGCTGGCTGGTTGCCTGGCTGCCTTGCTGGCCGGCTGGCTGGGTGCCTGACTGCCTGCCTGGCTGCCTGCCTGGCTAGCTGCCTGTCTGCCTACTTGGCTGACTGGCTGGCTCCTTGGCTGGCTGGCTGGCTGCCTGGCTACTTCACTGGCTGGCTGGCTGGCTGGCTGGCTGGCTGGCTGGCTGGCTGGCTGGCTGGCTGCCTGCCTGCCTGCCTGCCTGCCTGCCTGCCTGCCTGCCTGCCTGCCTGCCTGCCTGCCTGCCTGCCTTCTGGCTGGCTGGCTGGTTGGTTGCCTGGCTTGCTACCTGTTTGGCTGGCTGTCTCGCTGGCTGGCTGCCTGGATGGCTGCCTGCCTCCTGGCTGGCTGGCTGGTTGCCTGTCTTGCTGCCTGCTTGGCTGGTTTCCTGCCTGCCTGGCATCCTGCCTGCCTGACTGGCTGGCCGACTGGCTGGGTGGCTGGATCGCTGCCTGGCTGGCTGCCTGGCTGGCTGACTGGCTGACTGTCTGTGTGGCTGGCTGGCTGGCTGGCTGCCTGGGTGGATGACTGGCTGGCTGGCTGGCTGCCTGCCTGCCTGGATTTCTAGCTGGCTACCTGCCTGGCTGCCGGTGTGGCTGCCTGCCTGGCTGGCTGGCTGCCTGACTTGCAGACTGACTGGCTGGCTGGCTGACTGACTGGCTGTCTGGTTGGCTGGCTGGCTGGCTGGCTGACTGGCTGGCTCCCTGGCTAGCTGGCTGGATACCTGGCTGGCTGATTGTCTGCCTGCTTTGCTGCCTCTCTGTCTGGCTGGTTGCCTGGGTGTCTGCTTGGCTGGCTATCTGGATGGCTGGCTGCCTCCCTGGATACCTGCTTGCCTGGCTGGCTGCCTGGCTGGCTGCCTGACTGGCTGCCTGCCTGCCTGACTGTCTGGCTCACTGGGTGGATGACTGGCTGGCTGCCTGACTGACTGACTGGCTGTCTGCCTGCCTGGCTGGCTGGGTGGCTGTCTGGCTCACTGGCTGGCTGGCTGCCTATCTGACTGGTTGCCTGACTGACTGACTGACTGACTGCCTGGCTGTCTGGCTGGCTGGGTGGCTGGCTGGCTGGCTGACTGGCTGGCTGGCTGACTGGCTGGCTGGCTGGCTGGCTGCCTGCCTGCCTGCCTGGGAGCCTGGCTGGCTGCCTGCTTGTCTGTCTGCCTGCTTGCCTGGCCGGCTGGCTGGCTGCCTGGCTACCTGCCTGGCTGGCTGCCTGCCTGTCTACCTTTCTGCCTGCCTGTCTGGCTACCTGCCTGGCTGGCTGCCTGCCTGTCTACCTTTCTGCCTGCCTGTCTGCCTATTTGGCTGGCTGGCTGGCTCCTTGGCTGGCTGGCTGGCTGGCTCCTTGGCTGGCTGGCTGGCTGGCTCCTTGGCTGGCTGGCTGCTTGGCTGGCTGGCTACCTCACTGGCTGGCTGCTTGCCTGCCTGTCTGGCTGGCTGCCTTCCTCCTGGCTGGCTGGCTGGTTGCCTGGCTTGCTGCCTGTTTTCCTGGCTGCCTCGCTGGCTCCCTGGCTGGTTGTTTGTCTTGCTGCATGCTTGGCTGGCATCCTGCCTGCCTGCCTGACTGGCTGGCTGACTGCCTGTCTGACTGGCTGGGTGGGTGACTGGCTGGGTGGCTGGCTCGCTGCCTGGCTGGCTTGCTGCCTACTGGCTGACTGCCTGTATGGCTGGCTGGCTGTCTGGCTGCCTGCCTCTCTGACTGCCTGGCTACCTATCTGCTTGGCTGGCTGCCTGGCTGGCTGCTTGGCTGGGTGGGTGGTTGGCTGGCTACCTTTCTGGCTGGCTGGCTTCCTGTCTGTCTGCCTGGCTGCCTTCCTACTTGGCTGGCTGGCTGCCTGCTTGTCTGGGTGGCTGGCTGGCTGCCTTCCTACTTGGCTGGCTGCCTGCTTGTCTGGGTGGCTGGCTGGCTGCCTTCCTACTTGGCTGGCTGCCTGCTTGGCTGGCTGCCTGTCTGGGTACCTGGCTTACTGCCTGCCTGCCTTCCTGGCTTCCTGCATGCCTGGCTGGCTTGTTGGCTGTATGCCTTCCTGGCTGACTGTCTGCCTGTCTGCGTGTCTGGCTGCCTGCTTGGCTGGGCGGCTGCTTGGCTGGGCGGCTGCTTGGCTGGGTGGCTGGCTGCTTGCCTTCCTCCTGGCTGGCTGCTTGCCTTGCTTTCTGCCTGTTTGGCTGGCTGCCTGCCTGGATACCTGCCTGGCTTGGTGCCTGGCTGCCTGCCTGGATACCTGCCTGCCTGGCTAGCTGCCTGTCTGCCTACTTGGCTGACTGGCTGGTTCCTTGGCTGGCTGGCTGGCTGCCTGGCTACCTCACTGGCTGGCTGCCTGCCTGCCTTCTGGCTGGCTGGCTGGCTGGTTGCCTGGCTTGCTGCCTGCTTGGCTGGCTGCCTCGCTGGCTCCCTGGCTGGCTGCCTGGATGGCTGCCTGCCTGCCTCCTGGCTGGCTGGTTGCCGGCCTGCCTGCCTGGCTGGCTGGTTGGCTGGCTGGATGCCTGGCTGGCTGGATGTCTGCCTGGCTCTCTGCCTGGCTGGCTGGCTGCCAGCCTTTCTGACTGGCGGCGTGTCCTGGCTGGCTGGCTGGCTGGCTGACTGACTGGCTGGCTCCCTGGCTGGCTGCTTGCCTGGCTGGCTGGCTATTTGCCTGGCTGCTTGTCTGCCTGGCTGGCTGGCTGAGTGCCTGCCTTGCTGCTTGGCTGACTGGGTGGCTGGCTGAGTGCCTGCCTTGCTGCTTGGCTGACTGGCTGGCTCCCTGGCTGGCTGCCTGGCTCCCTGCCTGGCTGCTGGCTGCCTCCCTGGCTGGCTGGCTATCTGCCTGCCTAGCTGGCTGGCTGCCTGCCGGCTTGACTGGCTGCCTGCCTGCTTGGCTGGCTGCCTGCCTGCTTGGCTGGCTGGCTGCCTGCTTGGCTGGCTGGCTGCCTGC